GCTTTTTTATATTCTTCCCTCTCAAAGCACATTGAATCTCTAGGGCTACAAAGTGTGACTGTTTTAGCCTTAGAGTAACCAATTTACACAATTGTGTTTAACACTGTTGACCTTGACTTTTGTGTCTCCAATGTGGCCAAAAAATCCCAAGGCCTCTTCCGTCTCTACAAGCTTACTTCCTAGATATTTGGACAAACCGTTAACCACATATGGCTTCCTCTGATTCTTGGCTTGTTGGACATCATTAGTGTTTTTGGCCTTATATTTAGTTTAGTAGACTTTTATTGTAACGTTATCGTAAGTTCATTAGCCTAAAAAATGGCGAACAAAAAACTCTTACCTCCTAAAAATTATCGTAAGAGAAGGTTAACGCCATTTTTAGGAGGTAAGAGTTTTTTGTTCGCCATTTTTTAGGCTAATGAACTTACGATAACGTTACAATAAAAGTCTACTAAACTAAATATAAGGCCAAAAACATTAATGATGTTTTAGGAGAGCTCATCCACCCACACTCCTTTTGATGTGTTAAGCTTCTCTTTCAAGGTATGCTTGAGAGTTTTATTGATTGTCTCCACTTGACCATTTGCTTGTGGGTGATGAAAGAAGAAAAGTGCTTATTGATTCCTAGCTCTTCACACAAGCCCCTGACTTTTTTATTGTCGAATTGCCTCCCATTGTCAGATATAATTAGAGTGGAAAATTAAGAACCGATAAATGATATTCTTCCAAATAAATTTGGAAGTATTGGCCTCGGTGATTTTTGCATGTGGTACAGCTTCAACCCATTTAGTGAAATAATCAATGATGATAGTAGCTAGCGCTTCCTTTTTCTTTCGATAAGGGGCCTATGAAGTCAACTCCCCATTCAACGATGGATCGCAGACTGGACACAACAGTTATTTCCTAAGAAGACTGGCTTTGGATGGTGGATAAGTGTTGACACTTGCCGCACCTGAAGGGCATATTTTTTTAGCATTGGCCAGTGATACCTTGCCTTACTATTTTTTGTACAAGTGCTAGATCTAAGTATGGTTGCCACAAACTCCTTCACGAACCTCACGAAGAACATAATTGGTCTCTTCTACACTAGTGCATCGTAGGAACGGTGATGAGAAGCCTCTCTTGTAAGTCTTGAAGATATAATGAGTGGCTCTTCTTCTAAGTTTGTTGGCCTTTTCTTTATCCTCCGGTAATGTGTGATCCTTGAGAAAGGTGAAAATTGGTTGCATCCAAGATGGAGTACCTTCAATCCACATCATTTCTCCTTCCTTAGAGATAGAGAATCTGGCGAGGTGCTCAATCAATACTACTTGGGCAACTACTTATCCTTACTACTAGCTAACTATGATAAAGCATTGTTGTGAACCATTTCAGTTCGTGAGATTTGGGTCAACTCAAACTTTTCAAAGGATATTAAAAAAGAGTGTTTGACATTTTTATGTAAATTTGATATTATATATTTTGGTCATTGTTTTTCCTTCTATTTTAATTTAGAAATCAACTTTCTAAAATTATAACCCTTTGACTAACTTATTCTACTCTTTCCATTGACCTGAGAATTCGGTTCCATGGAATTTACAGGATTATAGAACAGAGTATAACTATGACCTAGAATAAATAATAAATTCACTATTTTTTACGAGATTTCTTAGTTCTTTGCAAAATTTTTGGTTGTTACTTTTTGTAACACCCCAAATCTAGAGATCCTAGATTTGAAGTATTTATCATACAATTTTCTCTCAAAATCATAAATGCAAAAAAGTGATTACATGTTTCTTTAACAAAAAAAATTATTGACATACATTTATGGGAGTATTTGCAAAAAATATTTGTACTTAATAAAAACATAAGATACACAACAAAACAGCATTTTTCAACGTTCAGAAACGTTGCCGAAGGCCTTTTGCAATGTTTGGACGTATGTTGCAAATCTCAATATTGCGCTAAAGCAAAAGGATAAAACAATATTTTTTGAATGTTGCAAATAACCTTTTTGCGCCCATACCCATGGGTAACTCACCGCAAAAATCTAGCTACAGTGGAAATACAAGCCCAAGCGTTATCGGGAACGGAACGTTTCCTTTTGCAATGTTTTTTGGACATTGCTAAGAAAATTTTTGCGACGTCTTTTGAACGTTGAAAAACAAATTTTGCAACGTTTTTTTAAATGTTGCAAATAACCTTTTGGGAAAATTTAATAAGTAAGAGATTAAGTATGACATATTTCAAAATTAAGAAAATGAGTTTCAAATTTCAAAAATCAGATTTTTATTAAAAATTGTTTATTATTAGATCAATTAATTATTTATTTTATTAATTAAATATATTTAAGTCACATATCTATACAATTTGGTCCCAAATTAACAATTTAATTAATCACTTATTATTTTTTGATCACAAATCAAAAATTTTATAACACAAATTATTTTACGATCACAATTCAAAAAAGTTGTAGATCAAAGTTTGTTCATCGGTCAAAAATAAAAAAAAATAATTAGTCATAGATTAATTTTTAGTCACAACTTATCAAATTATTGGTCATAACTTATTTTTTTGTCACAAATCAAAAAATTCATAGGTCGCATATTATTTTTCGGTCACGAATAAAAAAATTTGTAGATCACAGATCACAAAAATTATAGGTTACAACTTATTAGATAATCATAAATTATTAATTTTTTAGATCATATTATTCCTTGGTCACAATTTATCTTTTTCATTGGTCACATATTGTTTATTGGTCATAGATTAATCAATTTAACAGTCACAGTTAACCAAATAATCTGTGACCAACACTTGTAACCACAACCACCGACACGACCACGACCACCATTGCCAAATCCACCTCGATAGGCATCACCTCCACCTACTCCACCAACAAAAACTATCACAAACCTCCAACAACACTTAGCACAAAGGTAACTATCACCATCGCACCTAGATTGGAGAAAAAACTCATCACCACTGCACCCTGCCCACCACCCACCCTGCACCCCCACCTCAAAACCATAACTTCCCGTTTCCCAATCCCGCCACCGCACAGCACCACCACCATACCTCCCGTTTCCCAACACTGCCACTGCACAGCACCACCACCAAGCATAGTACTATCAAAAATCACAACCATTATCTCAATCACACCACATTCACCAAAAATTCCCCAAATCCGATGTTGCTACCGCCGCCACTTCATCACTACCACTGCCTTGTGAACAATAACTACCATGACCTCCTCAAATTCACGACAAACAACGGTCCTACAGCGACGTTGCCGCAGCACCAATGGGCTAAACCGATAGAGATCTCTGCGCGCAGTGGAAATGGGCGTCGCTGCAGCACCTTTGCGCTCGCCGCTACACCAGTTGAGCCACTGGTGGCTTGTCCAGCAACGGGGGGCTTGCGGTGTTGGCTGGAGCAGCTCCATCGCCGACTGCCAAAGTCTGAAAATGAGAGAGGAAGAGAGAGGGGCGGCAGGCAAATGTAGAGAGAGAGAGAGAAGGAGGGGAATGAAAATAAATTATGGTTGAAATAAATTTGTATTATAATATTTAATATTAAAAATATTTGATTTTTGAACAATAAAACCTTGCCTATGATTTTAGAATATTGATTTTTAAAAGTAGGTAGGGATGTAATTTCCACTAACTTTTTTGTGCCCATACCCATGGGTAACTCACTGCAAAAGTCTAGGTACAGTGGGAATACAAGCCCAAGCGTTATCAGGAACGGAACGTTTTGTGAATATTGTTAATAATCCTTTTGCAATGTTTTTTGAACATTGCTAAGAAAATTTTTGCGACGTCTTTTGAACGTTGCGAAAAAAATTTTGCTACATTTTTTTAACATGGCGATTAACCTTTTTGCAACATTTTTTAAGAGTTATGAATAAACTTTTTGCAACATTTTTTCAGTATTGTCAATAACCTTTTTGCAACCTTTTTTGCCTATTGTCTATGATTACATCCTTATTTTTGGTAACATTTTGTTAACCATTGTCATAAGTCATCTTGTATTTTTTTTTGGTAGAGTGATTTATACAAGACAAGATAGAAGACAACAATATCAAACAACTCCAATAATAATTATTAATTGACTCCAAAATGTAACAATATTCATACAAAATCGAGATCCAAAATTTTGAAGTACCTAAAGATCCAATACAAAAAAAATTCCACAAACCCTGTTGAGCTAGGGTCTCCATCAAGCTCTTTAGAAATTTTAATAGCTTTACATGCGGCAACTTTTAGGGCCCGGGAAGCAGGAATTACAACCAGCAATATTGTGTCACTGTGTTCAGCATATTGACTCTATAAAAAAATAGGGATATTAAACTTCCAAAATTAGGTATCAAATCTAAACTATACAAAAGATTCATTTAGAAAAAAATCATTATAGATTATTGCAAAAACTACGGTTGAAATATAAGAGAATATGTTTAGAACAAAAATATACATATTGACCATTATGTTTTTGAGAAAATCAAATGGTGGTGCTCTAAAACGACAGAGACGTGTACTTATTCAAAATTTTAAATACATCCCATTGTGACTCTTGTTTGAGATTTTGGTTAGTCTATCCTCTAATAAAAATCGAACAGTAGCTATAATAGGTTAAAAAAGGAATAAACTCAATTGGAATGAAAAGACTGAAAGATAACAGATTTTTCTAATTTTAATAATAAAGGAGAGGTCATTCATCAAACATTGACAACAGTCTCCATTCAATATTTAAAACATAGAGCATTCCTCTTCTTTTTTTATTTTTTTATTTATTTTTTTCATTTTCACTTTGTCCCAAAAAATGTTCATAATGCACCTGAGTGGTTCAAAAGCAGACAACTATAGAAAACCACTTCCTTAGGTAAGCCTAGGCCCAGTTTTCATTAAGATTGAATAAATAATTATAACAACTTGAATGATTAAGTGTTGGAAGAAGAAAAACTAAACGTCTCTATAAAAATTTAGAAGTGAATCAATTTTTCCTAATCAAGGCAGCAGCAATAAATAACTAAAAAGGTGTTTGTTCATAAAATCGGTGTGTTAAAAGACAATATTTATTCGCAGGATAAGCAAAAGTGAAAGTCAAAAATATTTGATTCAACAAAAGGTAAGAATAAAAAAGAGGAGAAGAAAACATATAAAATCATGAGATTTTACAGAATGAGCAATAACACAATTGACTTGACAGCTCCTTCTCCTCTATAAGCCCATTCCAGTGCATCTTTTGCCTGCAACACCACCGCCATCCACTGCCTACAAAAAATATAAGGTATCAAATGGATAGTCTTGAACTTGAATCAAGAGACATGGTTTTTCTTTTTTCAATTCCCACCAGTCATCTCCAACTCCTTTGTCATATTTCACAAGACTAAAATCACAAGTTTTAAAAATTATTAAACTAAACAAAACAAAACAAAAAGGAAGAAGAAAAAAAGTGAGCATAATGAAATTAGAAGTAATAGTAGAGACTAAGCTCCACCAAATACAATAATCCTTTGTTGTTGCTTTGTCTTCAGGCGATGCTTGAGAGCCAGATGAGCCACCTGTGTCCTTGTTGCCAAGTTCATCTGACCACTAGTACTTTGCCATCAGAATGGTGTAAAGTTGGGATTACCCTTTAAAAGTAAATGAAATCTACATCACAAGTTCTTATTTCAGCAAAACATGTGAAATGGATCATCGAGACTACTTTTGAAAGGAATAAATTTAAGGAACAGTTCAACAATTATGATAAAATAATAATAAATATAAAATATTGGAAGTAATATTGAATCACAATAACTTGTTTGAAATTGAAATTGATAATGAATACTTACTATATCGATCACATGGAATTGGTTCTTTCACATCAAGCTTGAAATTCTTTAACAATTGCCTGGTATGACAGCAAAAGCAATAGTTAGTTAGGTAATTTCATAGTGAATGGATGTAACGAACATACGGCAACGTAAATGGAAACAGATGATGAAGGTGTCTAGAGAGCTATAGTCAATTATAGTAGAATAAGTAATAAACATTTTAAGTACAAAATTAGAAACGAAAGAAATTGGTAAAGAACATAGAGGAGGAATAATTTATTTTGGCAAGTAGAATAACATATGGTAGTAAATGTTAGTAAAGGAATTACCTCTAAATGATGAATCCTTGTTCAAGTATAGATTTCGAGTCTCTTTCAAAGTAGGCAGCATTAAATTTATAAAATATGTCTCCTTGAGGCCTACTATAGTTTAATAGAGCAATTAAATATCCTGACGGAAAAGTTCTAGATGGTTTGTGCTATATAACGTTCATTTTCCAAAGTAAGCTATGTAGGAACACTCAACAATTTTTGAAGTTACTATTTTTATCATCTAGTTTTGCATACATATTTCTGTACAAGGAAAAAAAACTATTTGGTCAAAGCCCAATAAAAAATTAGTAAGATGTATTAATGACTTTTACTTGCATAAATATTTTTAGATGAGAGGAGCTATTTCTGTTCTATAAAGTCAAAAGTTTTAACCAACAAATAAAAAATCCAAATTTTCACATATGCATATACACATGTAAAACTAACACAAAATCAACAGAAGGGAAATTCATATTTCAGGTACTAATGAAGTAGTAATATTCGTCGAAAATGAATCTTGATTATCAATACTCCCAAATGTATTAATTTAATGAGATAAGCTGCTGAAGTTTTCCTACATCTTTTTCTTCTTCACCCTTAAAGCGTAATGTGCACCCACCAATTATGATTCTGATGTGCAGCAAGGTTGTAAAATGAAATGGTTCCTAATAACAATAAAGTTCAAAATAATTCTAATTGGTTGTATGTATAGAATCTTTCTACCTATTCTTATGGGCTTTTGTACTTACCAAGTCAACTTCATGATTGAAAAATAATATGCCTTCCTTAAACCATAATAAGCCTTACTAATAACGACTCTATTGTACAAAAGAGGTGTCAAATGGACCAGTTCCTATGATGAATTTAGTCCAAAAAGGTTATCATTATCAATAGCTTTCTTCACTTACGAAGACAATTCGAAGATCAAAAACAACTATTTCTTGATTGCAAAGGCACTCAAAAATGAGACAAGTAGCCACCAGCAGGTTTTCACTTGCTAGTTAATACGGCAGGTTTTCACAATAATGAAGAAGTGTACAGGGTTCGCCTCATGCCTCTCCCTCTCCAAAACTCACCCCACTGTCTAATAATCCGATGAACAAAAGTTAAATTGAACCACATTCATGAAGTAGCAGAATGTTACCTGGCACTGGAGTTACTTCAGGTTTTGGGGCTGCTTTCTACTGAGTATTAACCGGTTTAAGTGCAGGAAGTTCCACTGAATAGACAGTGAATAACTTATAATATATTGTGAGCAAATTGCTCGATAAAACTTCAAATTTGTAAGAACCAAAGTCATTGAACTAAACATACCTGGAAAGAGCTGGTTGTATCCATTGTGACCACCATGTAGCCTTGCTAATAAGCCCATAAGGGGGCATTGTTGTAGATAGCAGGCTAAGTTTGATCGTAATTATCTCTGTGATCACCAAAGTTGTCATAAGCATCAGGTCCTCTAGCAAATGCACCAATAAGTAGATTTGTGTCACTTCTCTTCCTGTTGAACCAAATGGCATAACCTCTGGGATTTCAAATCAGTTTCCAAATGAAATTCAGGTCACCTTACCAAGCAGAAGATTGCAATTATAATCTTCTACCCTCACTAAAATCTCAATTGCTTCAAAATTGACAAGACTATAGACTAGTGCCTCCTCTTTGGATGACAATACATATACACGAAGGAAAATAATATGCAAAATAAAACAGTTGGGTCAATCGGTTACACAATTATCTTCACTCCCCAAATAGATCGATTAAATTCCAATACAAACTATCTAATTCATGAAAGCTCAAACTGAACTCTATCATAGGATCCCACTGGAGCCTCTTGTCGATTTCCTTTGATGACACTAGGGAAGAGTTTGAAGAGGTCATCATGAGAGGCAGGGCATCTTCATTGTCAGTCAAGTAGCTCTCACTGTCACGCGACCACTTCTCTTTTGCATTTATTTTCGTGTTCTTGTTATTATTGTCACTCGTAATGTTGGTGCCTATATTAACTGATAGTCAAATTGCACAACCCCAGGGAAAATGTGTTCTTTGAGGTATTTTGAAGGTTTCACAATAGTAATTTTTTTTTTTTATGTGAAAATATTTCATCCATAAAGTAATAAGCCATAAGAAAGGGTACAATAGTGTTTATCAAAGAAAATTACATTTTCACGGAATAAAGAAATACTATGCCACCAGAGGAAAATGTCTTCGAGGGATTATGCGTGTCGCACTAGGGAATGTACTACTAGGTTACTCAGTCTGTTACAGTGCTGAAGGTTACTTTGAGGAAATCTCTACATTAATTCCTTTATTTCAGTAACTTGAGAATGGATTAACGCTGAGGACGAGCTTGGCATATTGATTTCGTTGGCAAGGAACAAACAATCACTTTCCACCACTAAGCGAGATATTCCAAGGTTAAGACACAGTTGTAGACCTCTCACAAGTGCATCAACTTCAATGTGTCCTGGTTCCAGGATTGTGTTTGCAGGACCACTAGCAGACAAAATTGTTTCCCCCACGTGGTCCCGTAAAATGATTTCAATCCCAGACTTATTTGAGTCAAAGAATAGTGCACCATCAATATTGAGTTTCAATGCTTTCTTGGGTGGTGCGGACCACCTATATTTGTGGAGAAGCGATCCAGATGTACGACCTAATTCAGCATTGGATTTTTTGGCTAAGGCGGTAGCAATTACTTGTTGTGGTGGAAGGTTTAGCTAGTCATGGACCATTTTGTTTCAGCGAAACCAAAAACTCCAAGTGATGAGTATAAATTTCGAGAGAGCATCCTTTAAGTATTTTGCCAGTATATCCATAACTACTTGCATGAAATCTCCCAGGTGATCCTTATTCTGTAGTGCTGGGAACCGTCTGGTTAGGAGATGGCAAGTAGAAGGACAATTGAGTAGAACATGGCATAGGTCTTCGACCTGGTAGTCACAAAAACAACATTGAGTGGCAATAGGGATTCATCTTCGAATCAGATTTTGTTTCGAGAGCAAGCTTTCTTCACAAGATCTCCAAACAAAAATTTTTACTTTTTGGGGTATCTTTAGACTCCATATAGTATCCTAAAATTTCTTTTTCTCAGTTGCGTTTGAAGAGTAGCCACGGCCCGGAGTTAGACAATTCTTGAAGAATCTATATGCACTGCTAACAGAATAAAGTCTGATTTTTTCATGTTCCCATAACCAGAAATCTTTTTCTCCCAAAGGGCTTAGATGTAATTTTAGTATTGCTTCCACAATTTTTGGATTGAATAGAGCCCTAAGCTTAGTTAGGTTCCACCACTTCAAGTTTGAATCAATCAATGAAGCCACTGGACTTTCAAGTTGTTGATTGTGATGTTGTAAATCATTTCCCAAGTCCCTGCTTAGATTTTTCACTCTCGGGATCCAATTATCATTTAGAATGTGTATAGTGTGACCATCACCAACAACCCATCTTCTCCCTTGTATCAGTAGATTTTTAGCCCCCCAGATTCCACGCCAAGCATAGGAAGGGTTACTACCAATAGATGCTTTAAGAATGTTACCTTCAGGGAAGTAATGGGCCGAGAATATTTTGTGAACTAAGCTGTATGTGTGTTGCAATAGCATCCAAGCCTATTTTCCAAGCATAGCTATGTTGAAAATTTCCAGCTCCTTGAAGCCCATACCCCCATGGATTTTGATGTACACATGGTATTCCAGGATTGCCAATGGATTTTTCGTTCCTCCTTTCTTTGGCCCACCAAAAATCTAATCATCATCCTTTCAATTTCAGTACATAATGTGGAGGGAAGTTTGAAGCAACTCATAGCATAGGAGGAGATTGCTAAAGCCACTGATTTGAGGAGGATTTCTCTTCCCCCTTGGGAGAACATACCACTCTTCCAAATTTATAATTTCAACCAAACCTTGTGTTTTATTTCAGAGAAAGCTCGATTTTTGGATCTACCAATCATAGGTGGTAATCCCAGATACTTTTCATATTGCTGTATTTTAGGAGCATTCCAAAGAGCCATAATTTCTTGCTTCTTATCTGGCTTTACATTTGCACTAAAGACCATAGAGGTTTTTATCTCTATTCAATTGTTGACCCGATGCATCTTCATAGCTACTAAGGAGAGCTTGTAGTCGAGCAGTAGTTTCCACATTTGCTTCACAGAAAATCAGGTTGTCATCTGCAAAGAGAAGATGATTCAAGCTTGGAGCTCTTCTACACACTTGAATACCATTCACTAATTTACTTCTTTCCGCTGAATTCAATAGATTAATCAATCCTTCGGTACATAAGATGAATAGATAGGATGATATTGGATCCCCTTGTCTCAACCCCCTTGAGGAGATAATGTGACCCATGGGAGCGCCATTGATGAGTATCGAGAAAGAATGAGTAGTAACACGTCATCAGCAGTTTGATAATTTTTTCATGGAAGGCCTATTTATACATAACCGCCTCAAGAAAAGACCATTAAACTCTATCATATGCTTTACTCATGTCAAGCTTCAGAGACATGTAACCTTTCTTACCCTTCTTCTTTCTTCGTAGGAAATGGAGTACTTCATAGGCCACAAGCACATTGCCTGTAATGAGACGCCCTTTTAATGAAGGTTGACTATGTTTCTAAAATCACCACAGGTAGCACTTTTTTTATCCTGTTAGCCACAACTTTTGAAACCAATTTGTACATGACATTACAAAGACTAATTGGTTTGAAATCCTTTACTTTTTGAGGATTTTTTATCTTTGGGACAAGTGTAATAAAAGTGTCGTTTACATTTTGGGGAAACTCATTGATATTCAAAGCATGTAATAAAGCATTTGTGATAGAGGAACCAATATGAGGCCAAACCTTTTGATAAAAAATAGAAGGCATACCATCAGGACCTGGGGCTTTAGTAGGATGCATCTCCTTCAAGGTTTGGAAGACTTCATTTGCTGTAAAAGGTTGAATCAGTTCCTCGTTCACTCCATGGGTTACTTTGCAATTTATGTTCTCCAGAGTGGCTGCTTGATTCCTTGAGCCTGTGGAGGTGAACAAATTAGAAAAATAGTTTATTATCATGTGGTTGCACGCCTCTCCCTCTTACCAATTGCCCTGGTCATCCAAGAGTTTATTAATTGTATTTTTCCTTCTTTCTTTAGGAGGCTTTTGCATGGAAAAATCGACTGTTCTGGTCACCATCTTCAAGCCAAGTAGCTCTAGATCTTTGTTTCCACATAAGTTCTTTTCTATCCATCCAAGTTTGTTCTTCCTCAGCGGCCTGCCGAAGATCATTTGAGTTTATAGTTGTAGGATCCTGCTATTGAATCTGCTGAAGCTTTATTTTGTCGTTGCTGAGTTTCACTTGCACTTTGCCGAATTTAGATATATTCCAAGACTGGAGCTGATTGCTGCAAAGTCTAATATTTCGCATAATATTATTTAGGTCGTGAGGGCAAGAGTCGGACCATTTATTCAGTATAATATCAGTGCATGCCTTTTCGCTAATCCACATTGACTCAAATCGAAATGGTTTAGGTGTTTTGAGAGTTTGGTGAGTACCATGAAGCTAGATCTAGAGGGGTAGGTGATCTGTATATGCAGTGGAGCCATGGATAACCGTAGTTTATGGAAACAATTGACACTAGGAGGCATTGGCAGTGAAGCGGTCGAGCCTCTCAAAAATCTGTGTAAAGTCTTGTCTTCCATTGTACCAAGTATAACGGGGTCCTCTAAAGCCAAGGTCTTTTAGCTCACAATCAAAGAGCATTTGCTAGAAACTTTCTAGTTGTTTTCGAGGTCTGTCTCGGTCTCCACATTTTCCCTCATTAGATAAAATTTCATTGAAGTCGCCAAAGACAAGCCAAGATTCTAAAGGGTCTCTCTTCATATTCCGCAATAGATTCCAGGTTTCCATACGTTTACTGGTATCGGGGTGGCCATAGATACCTGTTAAAAACCAGCTATGAAGGGTGAGTCGATTTGTGTATCAATGTGGCTTTTTAAGTAATTGAGGATAGTTAATTGAACATCATATTACCAAAGGATTGCAATCCTCCACTACGCCCCACTACCTCAACATTAAAATAGCCGTAGAACTTCAATTTTATTCGACATATTTCTATTTTTGTTATATTTAGTTTTATCTCTTGCAAGAACAAAACATCGGGGTCTTCCTTTCTGATAATGTCAAAAAGAGCACGAATGCCACGAGGGTTCCCAAGACCTCGTGCATTCCAGCTTAATAGCTTCATGGTGATCGGTGGGGCTGAGTTTTAGCCACCACCGAAATCTGAGAGTTGGAGCCGTAGTTCCATTCATGGGATTTTTCTTTACCCTTCAGTCTTTTGGAGGTTTGAGTAGTTTTGCTAATTTCAGGAGAAGTGTCTAGAGATCTCTTAAGGCTTGCTTGTGGACTAGAGGTAATAGAGCTGAAAGTCTTCAATTTATTTAATCTTTTCCAACGTCTGGTGAGGTGTTAGAAGCATTTTCTGGAATTGAAGTCCCACTAGATTTGGATAACTTAGAGACAGGTTGTGAAATGTCATCAGTATTCTTAGGCGAATTTTCAGCATCTCTACTATTTTCTTTAAACACTTTCGTTTGATTAGCAATTATGGAATCAGCTCCAGATTTGTTGCCTCTATCATCTCTGTATTATCTCCTTTCCCAACATTTCCCTGTAATTTATCTTGAATTTCAGCTAAGTTACTATGAGTTACCATATCTGTCATTTCCTTGCCGTGAAACTGGTCACCGGAGCTAGGCTTTTCCCTCGGAGAATTTGGGGCTCTGAAATTCATTTGACGATCACGAATTGGACCACCATAATCTCCCGAATCTCCAACTCGTAACTAGGGTCCATAGGCATAATCTGTGGTTGAGTAAGTCTCCATTAATGGTTGCCATTGCGAGCATTCTTTCTGACTATGTCCAAGAATGCCACATAGGTAGCAAAAATTTGGAAGACACATATAGGCAAGACAGATCCAGAAAGGTTTGCAAGATCCGATACAAATCTTCTTTCCACGTAGAAGGGGTTTGGAGATGTCAAGACATACTTGAACACGAAGGTATTCACCCCTTGCAATCTCATTTTTATCAATATCCACTTCGACTACTTTGCCCAATTGCCGTCCAATAGAATCTCCCATCTTCCAATTGCGAGCCATGATAGGGAGATCATAGATTCTTACCCAGAAAATTGCCTCAGAGAAGGAAATATGATGGATTTGTTCAAGGCCTTCAACATCTCTAATTAAGATCAGATGCTTGTCGAAGACCCATGGACCATCACGCTTAACACGCTCCTTATCCCTTTTGTCATCAAATTCCGCAAGGAGTAGATTTGGGGAGATGTCTCAAATGCTCAAGGTTTTATTTGGGCACCATAATTGCTTCATTGTGTTCTTGAAAGCCTCTTTGTTGAAATGTTTGCTGGATGGTAGTTTGAATAACATACATTTTTCACTTCGATGGGGGGTCAGCACTTCTTCTTCAATTATGAATGCTTCTTCTTCCTGTTCTGTAAGAGATAGTCGTTCACACAAGTTTACAATATCCGATTCCATAAGAAAAGTGGTCGAAAAAGAAACACAGAGAGATTCCTGTACTAATGCAGGATAGAGAAACATCTACTCAAGTAGTCCTCGAGAGGAAAAAGTTATTCGAGAGGA